TTCATGTACATTAAATGTAAGTTTCTCTATTCAACATACATTATGCATATTTTTTGTATGTTTTCCAATATTACTGTACTGCTATAACTACATAAAATGCATACTGTAATTGTAACCTTCCTGATAAATAATATTTTTCCAAAAAGTTTTGAGAGTTGATGTGAATTTCTCTTTCATGTACATTAAATGTAAGTTTCTCTATTCAACATACATTATGCATATTTTTTGTATGTTTTGCAATATTACTGTACTGCTATAAATACATAAAATCCGCACTCTAATTACAACCTTTCTGATAAATAATATTTTTCCAAAAAGTTTTGAGAGTTGATGTGAATTTCTCTTTCACATCATAATTTGCATTTTTTAACATGCAATTATCAGTGAAAATTTGATATTTCACAGTGACATCTTATCAAAGACTCTTCTACCACAAGAACTTCATTTTCTTTGACTGCATCTTGAAACAAATTCAATAAAAAATATATTTTAGATTACATTGAATTCAGGTGAAGATTAACTTTTAACTTAGTAGTATTTAACTTATCTGAAGAAATATGCGACAACGAGAATGCCATAGTAAGTTCTGTTTCTGAGAACAGAATGGTACAGATTCTTGAAAGGTCTCCAGAGAGTTTTTAGTACAGTAAAGCAATTAGCCTCAGCTGGATGTCGACTGAAAACAAAATTCCTGCTATAGCACTTTGGGAAATTCATTTTTTGTTTTCTCATACTTTGGTAAATATTCGTCCTGGTATTTATTGCTTGACAGATAGGAGATCTCAAATAGAAATTGGATATAAAATTATAATTTGGAAGTAAACATTATGTAGCATATCTTCTTTTTTTCCCAATGTTTTATTTGATCTGAAACAGAATTAGACAATTTAGTGATAAATTAAATACAATATAAAAATAATTACTCGTGTTGGATCTTAAGATAATTACAATTCGGTTGATAACAAATTCGCACACGCTTCAACTGATTCATGCAACGAAAATTTACAGCCGACTGTTATTTCTAACATCATAGTTTTAAATACAATTTTAGCTGTGTAAAAATCGAGACAAAATTTTGTTTAACATAAACGAACACGCGTATTTTTATTCTATACATAATTTACAATAATTTTATTTTTTTGTAAAAGAATATTTTATTTAGACCTTAATTTATCTATTGGTATAGTCATTTCGTCGTAAACTTACGAGAACTTTACAGTTTACTTCAATAAAGATACGAGGATAAAAATGAATACTAACATTGAAAAGAAGTATTACAGCGAAGTATCAAAGCAACATAATTTCGATAGTTCTTTGAATTCATTTTTTTTTAATACTTCTCGATTATACGTTTATCGCATTCATACAATTGACTACGTTGAATTAAAGATCATGGAATTGAAATTTATGTACACTTTCGCTTAATAAACATTAATAAAGTATCGATCAATTTTTATAGGATCAAAATGAGGATAAGATATTAATCAACTTTGTAATTTTTATTGTAATCGTTACAAACGTTAAATGCGAATTGCCATTTTCATTTCTTATGTACTAACACGCTGGAAAGGAAGCGAATGCCCCCCAATAAATAATAAACGAAAACGAAAGAAAGTCGAACGGAACTCATAAGAAATGACCATGGATAATTAGGTGAATTAAAAAAGAAATAGTATTTCGTGTTTTGCTTTCCTATCGAATGAACATTATCGATGGGTTTAAGGTAATGGGAAATATCGAAACGAAATTGGTGCGATTACAAACGAAGTTTTGTTTACTACGCTAAAATATACACGTAACTCTAAGGTTGATAAAGTACAACGGAACGACATTTGTTAAAGAAACTGAGGAAAGAGAGTGTTCAATACAATTAACAAGAATGTAATTAATTTATATATACGTATATAATTATTGAACACTTTTATTGGGAAACAGAACCGACATTTGTTAAAGAAACTGAGGAAAGAAAGTGTTCAATATAATCAACAAGAATGTAATTTATACATACGTATATAATTATTGAACACTTTTATTGGGAAACAGAACCGATTATCAGTTTCTTCTGAACCATTCGCAACGTTCGATAGTAAAAAAGTAATAGAAGCTGGCCTTTCCTTTCTTTCATGCAATCATCATGCTTCCATACACGCATACAAACATGTCCCTTGTTTTTTGTATAGTATAACGTAGCTGTACACGAAATTACTTACATTACTACTATATACACTAAGTTGTTTCTGTTGCTTCATCATCCGATTTTTGAAATTTTCCTGTGGTAGATTCAATCGAATCGATATTAATATAATACCGAAATAATAATAATAATAATAATAATAATAATAGTAGTAGTAGTAGTAGTAGTAGTAGTGTTGTAATAGTAATAGATCATCAACTTAGATATGTATAACAGTGTAACAAATACAGTATTGTATATTTGAAACGAATGTTCGATACTACATATAAAAGGATTCGCTTAAAATTTAGTAGAATTTCACAAATTTCTTTTTGTTATTATGCGTTAATTATTTATCTAACATTACGATAATTCTGCATATTGCTATCTTTGTACTATTTTCGCTTGGAAACATTTATAGAAAGAAATTTTGGAAAAATCAGATATCGATACCGATCGAATTACCTCAAATTAATCGAGGTCGAGTCGGATCTGTGCTGCAAAATCGAAATCGAAATCGGTAAGAACTTAAATAAATTGCCTAAGACAGAGATGACCAATTGTTGTTTGTGTCTTGCGTTAATATTCAACGTTATTTTTTTTTTGTGCATAATTGTAAATGGTACAATTGAAATTGAATGTAGTAGTAGTTTTAAGATATAAGTGCACAATAATGTGCATTAGTTAAATGAACCAAATTTTTTAGAACATTCAGTTTTTCATTATATCTTATAAGCTAGCATAAAGCTAGCACAGAGTAACGAGTCGGCCATCCCTGTCCCAGAGACTTAGGGGTTGTTCTTTTATTACATCACACTGATTTTGGTCGGTTTTACTCTACTTTATTCCTCCCCCTTCGTGTTCATTGCATTCATTGTTAGTTTACTCCCTTCTCATCCTACATTAAACTCATTGATATCCTTATAACATCCCTATTACAAATGTCACTGATATCCCTCTTTCTAACTACTTGACATAATGAAAGAACGGTCCCCTACCAGAAAGTTTGCGAAAGCTAATTTTATCACTTAATCTAACATATTTACAAGTTATCGTAACATCGCGCATCGGCATGAATTTTCGGTAATTCCAAGGTACATATCACGTAATAGTCAATCTCTGTTTTCTTTCTTTTATACAGAATAAAGCATTACAAATCCCGATTACCTTTGATACATTTTAAGAATACGTGGGCATCGTAGATCAATATTTTTAACGAATCTCTAGTATGACACTAATCTTCGCTAAGTGTATATTCCTCGTTGTAATATACGTAAATATTTCTATTCATGTTTCTATAACCTGTTTTTAATTTAATAAACAACGTAAGTGTTCCAATTAATTTGAAATCCTGATATTCTGTATTCTATATTCTATTATATTTCTTATGATGCATTTTACGCTTTACGTTTTATTTCCACGTATTCTTCATTTTTCGAAACATGTAACAACTCTTTTCATCTTACAATTTTTCAGATTAAATAATCACAATTTGGCACTCATTTCCTTTCGTCATCACTGTCATCCTCGGAACTGTACGCAAACGCGGAATAGACGTATTCCTGATTTGTGTTCTCATTTTCATCCTCTGATATATCTTGTTGAATCAGTATTTGATTTCCTTCGGTCACCATCAAAACAGCACCTTGCAGATCATCCAACTGCATACTTTCTACGTTATCGTCATTTTCTTCGCTTTCTTCATTTTCCTCGTGCTCTTCGTGGTCTTCGCTGTCATCACGCTCTTCATGTTCTTCATGTTCCTCATGTTCTTCGTGCTCTTCATTGTCCTCATGCTCTTCGTGCTCTTCATTGTCCTCATGCTCTTCGTGCTCTTCATTGTCCTCATGCTCTTCGTGCTCTTCATTGTCCTCATGCTCTTCGTGCTCTTCATTTTCCTCGCTCTCTTCGCTTCCCTCGCTATCATCATTTTCGCTGTCTTTGTCTTTTTCGCTATCACTTTCTTCGCTATCTTCATTTTCCTCTACATCGTTATTCTCTTCGTTATCTTCCATTTCTTCGTGTGCCTCGTTGCTCTCATTTTCTTCATTCTCCCCCATTTCTTCGTTGTCCTTACTTTCTTCGATAGAATTTTCATCAAAGTCATGTTTCGTATCTTCAAAGTCTTCGTCGCTTCGGTTTATAAATGTTTCAGAGCCAAAATCCAAAGACTCATTGGTAGACGTGCCTTTCCCATAAAAATTCGTTGATTTCAGAGAAGACTGATGTTGCATTTCGGATAAATTGCATAATTCTACCCTATTTTCGGTAACAGATATTATTGTATCGAGTTTGTGACCTCTCGATTGTTCGTTGGATATGTTTTCTGGAAGCAGAGGCATTATGGGACTGAGAATTGGAGGCCCATCGTCGTCCGACAGATCTTCTTCGTTTTTCTCTGCTTCTGTGCTTTTGGCTTCCTGAAGGTGTTCCAAAGTGAAACACTGCATGTTCTTTTCTTCCATTTCCAAATTATCTAATTCTTCGGAATCTTCGCTCTCGGAATTATAAGTGATTTCCCCGGTAGCTCTGGATTCACCTTCGGAATCATTTTCTTCTTCACCTTCGGAACTACTATCGCTTTCTGATTCTTCGGTGTCTGCTTCTTCTGCTTCAGATTCGAACTCTCCTTCCTCCACTTCTTCGATTACTCCATCGTCCGCTATTAGACTTCCTTCTGGCTTTTGTTCGTTCTTCAAATGTTCATCTTCTTCTTCCTCCTCCTCTTCTTCTTCCGTCTTCCCAGAACATGTATTAGAATGATCCGTTTCGTCGGTGACATTTTTGTGACATTTTGGACACGTAGTTCCATTACTCGCATGCCCAATGTGAATACTTGTGTGTAGTAGTAACTTGCTGCGCGCGTTGTGGTACCTGCCACACGTTTTACACGTAAAATTGTTTCCCTCGCACGACAATATTGCTTCGTGCATAGCTTTCAAATGCTCTGCTAGATCGTCATAATCTTTGCAAAGTTTCAGGCACACTCCACAAGTGACAGCAGCTTCTGCTCGATGAAACCGAATAAGGTGTTGCCATAAGTGTTTCTTCGCTGGCCACTGTTTTCCACATACCTCGCAGGCACATTCTGTATTAGTTGATTCATCGTAAACTTTTCTGGAATCCTTTCTCGAACACTTTATCGAAGACTTCACCCTCTGAGAAAGTGGCATGAGATTTGGAAGAGGTCTCTGACCAGAGAGTTGAAGATTGATATCTTCAAAAAGGTTGAAGTCGGGAATATTCAAATCTGACGTAGGTTCTTCTTTTTTAATTTGATTATTATTTTTCAAAATTTCTTCTCGATTGTCCAAAATGTCGTTTCGCAAAGGTAACAGTTCCACTTCTTTTCGCATGATATTTCTCCTGCAAGTCGCAACGTGGCTCCAATATAGCGTCTTTGTGCAGAACTGTCTCTTGCAATTTTTACAAATAAAACTCATTTTTCCACGCATTCTTCTCTGCTCTTCCTGTTTTAACCTCTTAAACATTCTTTCTGGATCGGTGTTATGCATATTACGATAATGTTTCGAAAGAGCATCGACGTTTACGAACATTTCCGGACACATCTCGCAATCAAAAGTATCCGTTAAGGATCTTTTTCTTTTCGAATCACTGGAATCCTCGTCGCAAAGATCCGCATCATACTCCACATCATCTGGTTCTTCTTTAACAATGATGTCAGGGGACTACGAAACAACAAGTATTACTTTTTATTGATTCTCTTTAAATTAAAATAACAAGTTACTCTACAAACTATTATTAACTTACCTCCATTTCAAAATCTTCATTTTTCGATCCAATATCTAGTCTATACTCGAATGCAGCAAGCTGATCTTTTGGGACATTATGTACAGTTTCATAATGATCTCTAATAGCGGAATCTTCTGTAAAAACAGCTAAACATTGTTTACATGTCCGAAATACTTTCCCATGGCACTTTTTAGTATGATCGAAAGCCTTCCATTTCGAAGCATACTGTTTCCCACAGACTTGACAGGTGTTGGGTTTCGAAAGAACACTGGAATGGACCTCTTCTACGTGACTTTTAAGTTCTTTCGGATCCTTCATTGGGATTAAGCATACTCCACAAGAAACACCAATCTCATTGCGATGAAGGGACAACACATGCATTTTTAATTTAAGTTTATTTTCCACGGTGTCGCCACAGAAGTCACAAACGTCAGGATTCGTATGATACCTATGGTCCTTCCTGTGGGCTTCTAGATCTTCCTTTGTTCTGAACAACTTTTTACAAGCTCCAAAATTGCAGGTCAAATCCGGGTGATCCATATGTTTCACTCTATTATGCGTCATAATGCCTAATTTCGAGGTGATCGTCTCGTTGCAAAGATGACAAGTGTACGTACTATGATGATTCTCAATGTGTTTTTGTAAACTGGCACGATCCTTAAATATTCTTTCGCAAGCTCTACATCTCGTTAGCAACGCTCCAGGATCTTTCCTATAATTCTGACATCCCTTCATATGTCTACGCAAAAGGTACCGCTTGTGAAATCCCTTATTACATTTCTCGCAATAATGCAAACTAACTTCCTCCGTTTTAAACTGCCGACTGTCTTTCCCGTCTTTTCTAGAATCCGGTTCGTATCTATGAATCTTTGAAATGTGAGCAGCCAAGTGATCCTTCGACGCGCTAGTTTTCAAGCAATAAGGACAGGTTACGTCCTCGTGGCCTTTGTGCACCCTGTTCACGTGTTTCCATAAGTGAGAAGTTCTTCCATAGCATTTGTTGCAGAGATCGCAAGGGAAAAGTCCGTGGACGACTCGTCTATGATTACACAATTTTTCTAAACTAGTGAACTTCAAATCTGTGCAAAGCTCGCAGCTTAATTCGGTTTCTCTGATTCGTCCGTCCACTTTGTGTTCGTTGTTTTCCATTCCGTTATTGCAAGCTTCCTCGAAACCATGAATTTTTCTATGTCTAGACATTTTGGATTTATTCGAATACGGCCTTCCACATATGTCGCAACTAAAATCGCCGTTCGTTAAAGGCCAATGCTTCGATTTAACGTGAGTACTTAATTGTAACACGTTTGGAAACACTTTCAGGCAAACCCCACAAATCAATGGAACAGTGTCTGAATGAACGCCCATGACATGTTTCCAGTAATCCACTCTACTACCCCAAAGTTTACCGCAAATTTCGCAGGTATTCGGGGACGAGCCTTGAATTGCATGATGTTGAATGTGATCGTTTCTGAGAGACTTCGTCGCAAAGATTTTACCACAATCTTCACGATCACATTTAATGGCTGGTTCGTTGCTGTGGGAGGAGCTAACGTGTAACCAACGTTCCCATTTACTAGGGTGCGAGCTGCCACAAAGTTCGCAAACAAAAAATAGATGGTATCCGGCTCTGTTTCCACCTCCATTTAAATTGGACGTATTCACAGAGTCTCCTGTCGGTATTAGTTGTTCCGACTGAAAGATTGTAAAATAGATAATTAATGATTTATAAAGAAGAAAACAATAAATTAAATATAGTTTTAATATTTTAAAATGTTCTTACCCTGTGTGCATTTCTTTGATGCCGAATTAAATGATCCTCGTTAGGGAATGATTTATAACAAATATAACAGTCTACTTTGTCTCCATCTTCATCGTAATCAAGCACTTGTTCGACAGATTCGTTGCCATTTATATTCTCTCCGTAATAATTACTATTCAACTGAACGAAGGTAGCAGGATCGTAATTTGGATCTACATTATGTATAGACACATGCGCGATCAATTTTTTTCTAGAATCGTGCTGCCTACCACAAATCGTACAGCTATACCTACGAGTTATAAAAAGAAATCAATTGTATAAACAACGACTAAAAATGTGAATGTAACAACAATTTGTATGAAAGCTATATCCTTATGTAAAAGAAATATTATAAACGATATACAATATTATGGATATACCTTCTTTGCTCAGAAAGTAATAATTTTGAACCACCGTGATACATGTTCACGTGATTCAAAAGTTGCGTGTTGTCTGCACAGATCTTCAAACAAACGCCGCATGCAAACGCTGCGAATTCTTTGTGAGTAGCTCGAATGTGAAGCCAAAGAGATGCGCGATCATTAAAGTCGCGAGTACAGATTTCGCAAACGAACACAGTTTCAATTTCGATAAGGTTCTCTTGGCTACTCTCGCGATCCTCTTCCTCGTTTTTAACATTTGTCTAAAATTAAACAAAAAAATAAAATATGTGTAAAGTAAATCGTGTAATCTCTACAAAGGAAATTTTCATACGTATCGCGTCTCATACAAATATAAAGGAAAGCTTTCTTAAAAACTATACCTCTGGAGATAACGGGAATTCAGAAGAAGTCTTTCCCTCGTAATCAACATCTATAGATTCGTTCCAATTCCGTAATACACTTTTCTTTAAACACTTATCGCTTTCTACGATAGGACATGGATCAACGCCGTGTAACGTTTGAATATGTCTGCTTAAAGAAGATTTGAGAACAAAATCTTTTTTGCACAGAATGCAGATGAATGGCTTATCAGCATCGTGAATTGCTTCGTGTTCCTTCAAATCATCGATCGAGGTGAAAAGTTGAGGACAAGATTCACAGTACCATTTTCTGTCATTTCTCATATCTGTGCTTTCTGTTTTTGGCAGCTTTTTTGGTTTACAATTTGCTGTGAACTTGTCTTCGAGATCTCGTTTAAGATTATCTCCTTTTGTTAATGCTTGTTTCAGAATTGTCAATTGAGGATTTTTAGCCAGCTTTGCCTCTGCACTCCTATAGTCTTTGCTATCATCATCGCTACCGATACTTGACGCTTCAGAACTATCCACAATTTTACTATCCCTACTCTTACTTTTCGCCAAGTGATCTAATCTCTGTTCTTCGATGCAGATCCTTCCATGAAGATTCAATTCCATAGCATCCATACAAATTTTTCCACAGGCGTTGCACTGACATCTGTTTTCTGGACGATAGGAATTGTTCACTGGAACCTCCGTGGGCGCAGGAAGACCGGCATGACGCGATGTTATATGTTCTTCCAAATTTTTTCGGGTCGAATAAATCCGTGAACAATAACCGCATGTCACAGCTGGGTGGCCTCTAATACAAAAATTATTATATCATCAATATTATTACATTATTAAAAATAATAAATACATTCTAATACATTTATAATTAAAAACAAACCTATGAGTCGTTGATACATGGCCCCAGCGGTGCTTTCCGGTCGAATAAGATTTATGGCAAAGATCACACTGATAAGGTCTCTTGTACGAAGTGTGATCATCCGTAAGAACTTTTTCACCAATCACATCACCAGCTCCAACGTGGATACGTGCATGCAAAGATAAATGGCCCTTTGAACTGAATGCTTTGTTACACAAGGAACAAACATAAACTTCATGTTGTTGGGATGTGTGCTGTAATAATAAATCATCGATTATGTTTCCATCGTTCAAAACATTTCGACAATTCAAGGACAATGATTTAAATATCATACCTCTGGTAAGCTATTAGGAAGTTCTTGATGTCTTAATTCTGATTCTGCAGGTTCTTCCGCGACTATCGAAGTCATTTCCAAAAAGTCGCTTGGATTTGTTTCCATATCCATTTCATACTCTTCTGAACGACGATCCTCAGAATCGTCCACTATCGTGGCTGAAACAGAAAAATGAAAGAATTTTCTTCTATTTCGTTTCAGGTATAATTGATTAATTTTTGAAAGATTAAAATATCAAAGTACCTTCATCCGTGCCACTATTGTCAACAATTTCTTCGGTCTCGTGATCAGCCTCTCCATCAGAATTTAATCTAGGTGGTGTGCCTAAGGCAGCATTTGGATTCACAACAGGAGCCTCTGGAATTAACATTGGCATACTTTCCTTTCTCTTCAGCAACTGTAAATCGTTGCAACTAGTTATGGTGGTTGTAACACCTGCACCCTAAAAGAAAACGTAAAATGCTCGTTATTGTTATATTATTTAGAAATTATGAAATCGATCAAATCTGCATTTTGTATAATTATGTTCATTTTAGTGTGAACTAATGAAGTACACTTTTGAAATAATGCAGTTTAATAGAATTTTACCGATTCTGAGGGTGGTAAACATCTTTCCAAGAGGGCCACTGCATTGACGCATGCTGTTCTAAAATCGTAGAAATTTTCCAAATTGTACGTGCACCGGTAACAGAGGCATTTTGGTAGGCGATCATCTTCTGTAATCTGTAATTAAATATTTAAATATTACCATTATATTCTCTAGACAAATTAAGTAAAAGTACAGTTAATATGTAAATGAGTTCAGTGAACTAAAAAATAATAAAGACACTCACAATTAGAATTATTATAAAATACAAACAATGTTATTAAACAATGAATTCCATTTGACATGAATAATGAAAGAATTGTCAGGAACATTCTTTGAATAATGAATAATGATGTATTTGACTATGATGTAATTGACACTACTAAGAATTATATAACTATATACAAAAAGAGAATTCTTATGCACTTAATGAGTAAGTAATATAGTTTAAAAGTATTAATTTATATTTTGAATTACTTTACGTTCTTATTATATATTAGTTAGTACATAATTTCTTATATAATAGGTTAATTGTGTTTAATTATATTTAACTTGTTAAATCGGTAAGGTATAAATGACTCTAACAAGATAAAAAATATTTGATGATTGGTTTTGAGATACTTGAAATAAACTGTTATTGATTTTGTTGACTACAGTTTCATTTAATATGAAATAATAAAGATTGATAGAAAAATTAATTGGAATTAATTCATTTTTTTTTTTGTATAATAAGGAAAGTAATTTTAGTGATCTTACATGTTTACAAAAACAAATTAGTATAAAATGCATAACGTCTTTGATTATTCCAATGATTCCAATTAAGAAATAGATAGAAGAAAAACAAAACAGTTGAATCAAGAAAAGTTACATGGTTCTATATCAATAAGTTGAATAATGTATGTCACATGAAAATAATAATATTCTAATTAAAATAAAAATGTATTAAAAAAGACTATTAGAATGATAAGAGTATCGCATAATGGAACATTAAATTACGAATCTTGTACATAGAGTTTTTAGAATCAAAATAGTTCGTTCAACTTTCACATTATTTTTTTGAAAGTATTTACATTCGTTCAAAAATTCAAAATGTTTACATGTATGTATTTATATAACTCTTGAAAACACATGTTACTACTGTTAATAACATGAAACATTATACTCATTGAGTCAAAATATATAATGTTACAGCTGAAAAATGTAAACACATATCAAGAGATGCAGTACGAAAATATTCTGTCATAAAAGTTATACATTAATGTTAGCACAATAAAATTGCGTTAAATAATTCATCTTAAAAAGGGGCAATGAAAAATGTTTAAAAAGAGATTTAAAGTAAAAGAAAGTAAATCGAAAAATAAAACGAGAACAAATTAATACGTTTATTAATTTGTAATGCTTGCTTTTTCGAAACGTACAAAATTTAATTAGTATTAACATAAATATTATGAAGTATATGCAAAGAAAGAGGTCAAGTAAATACATTCCAAAAAGATGCAGAAAAACCCACAGAATCAATCAAATTTTTAAAATTAATTTGAATGCATCTGAAGCGGCAAAAACTGTATGCAAAGGCTTCAAACGTAAAACTACCAAGCGCTACACGTAAAAAAATACGTCGAAGAGTGCTTTTCCGCGAGAAAACGTATTTGTCAGATACAAATCGAGTACAAACGAACGAGAAGATTTTCACGTCGAAAAGAGGAGATTATTTCCGAAACAACTTGACACGAAACGAGAGTAAGTTCCATGCAGAGGTAACGTGTAATCACGTAGATAGAGGAAGACGAACCTGAAAGGGTAGACAAGCTTGTATCTTGTCAACGAGCTGTCTACTCTTGCCCTCTTGACCGAAGATGTCCATCTTGACGGCGTCGTAGGATGCGCAAAGTCTGCAGAGCTCCTGGTAGCGTTCCCTGGGCTCCATCGTCGGCGTGGCCACGAAGAGGATCACGATACTGGCCCGAGGAATTTGGATAATCCGAATTTCCTCGTGGCAGTGTAGAAAAAGGCTCCTCTGGCCCGGACTCGGCCTTCTTCTTCTTCTTCCTCGGATCACATCCTTCGGAGCGGGGATCCGCGGCTCGCTGCGACACCGCGCGGCTTCCGTTTACGGGTTACTTCCTGGCGATTTTCACGACAGTTAAGGCCCCGGGCGCCGCCATCTTGTACACAGACACTTGTTTCGTCGGTCCTGTCGAGCACGACCTCCTCCATGTCGCTAGGTATCTTGCGCTTCGCGGCAGATATCCAGTAATTTTTTGATACTTTAGAAACCGCGAATTGTATTTTGGCCTTGTATAAGGCCCGTTCATATCGAATTCATTTCTGCCGCTTCATTGGGCGTTTACAATGAACGTAACGTTCGCGGCAAACATGAACCGATTGGTTCCTGTTTATCTAGTTACTAAATTTGTTTTCACTAATTTTCGCTGTACAGGGTGTCTGAAAAATGTTGTATCATCTTGAAAGGGGTGGTTCGGGAGGTGATTTGAAACAACTTTTTCCTTAGCAAAAATGTTGTCCGGGGCTTCGTTGAGGAGATATTAATGGAAAACATTGACCAATCAGCGGGCGCTCCATTGGCATACTCGCGCTCTGATTGGTCCGGGGAGCGCGTAGCCTACGCTACCGCGAGCGCTCCACTGGCATACTCGCACTCTGATTGGTCAGTGTTTTCCGTTAATATCTCCTCAACGAAGTCTCGGACAACATTTTCGCTAAGAAAAAAGTTGTTTCAAATCACCTCCCGAACCACCCCTTTCAAGGTGTTACAACATTTTTGGAACACCTTGTATTTATTTTTAATATGTAAACTAAAGTTACCATATCGATATTTAATTCGACTGCGTTTACGTTGAACGTATGAAATTTGTAAAAAATACAAATGAAATACAAATAAAGTAATTATATGACTTATATTTTGTTGGATTTGGCAAACTATCGTATATACTCTTATCACGAGTTGTACAAAAATAAAAGAAAACCTAACCTTAATTTGACTACTTTTAATTCCTTCATATGCTGTAGTTCAATCACCCTTTCGTTATCAATGTTTTACTATTATCTATTATTGCTTTCACAGATTTCTGTATCTCATACTCTGTATGAATAACTAAATTATATTTCCCGATATTTTGTATATAATTACATACTTTGTTTAGTACATACACACATATATATATATATATATATATATATATATATATATATATATATATATATATATATATCTATATCAACAATTTAACCTAACTCGACCATAATATTCATCTATAATTAGTTTAAATCAATAATACATTCTGTAAAAAAAATAATAATAATAATTCTGTAATTAGATCTCATTGGATTTCATATACATTGCGATGAGATGACATTCTTGATCTTTTGACCAAGAGTGTAGTTATAAATTCAGAAAAATTTAAAAGCAATATAGCAACGAACTATTTGGAACTATCCTGCAATTCTATATGTAATTATTAATATATTTTACATCATCGGAAGAAAATATTTAAGGTATCAAATAATAAAAATAAAATTTTGATTTACCACGCATCAATCTACGAAATATCCCTAGCCAGAGCGTCGTGTCGAAGTTGCAAACCAATTTTGTCTCTATGACCTGTTTACATTAAATTTCATCTCATGAAATATACCATATACATCTATACATGCTGCTCCATTAATCATAATATAATCAAAAGGAAGATTTCATGCAAGATGAATGAAAAATATTACATGAAATTTTTGTTTGGAAATACAATAACCACAAACTAGTCATAGTAACGCCATCAAGCGTTTTAGCTAAGCAACCACTAGTATTTTCCTCGAACGGTAAAACCCGGCTACTCGGTTGTATTATGTACGTATGAATTATTTAAATAATGCTACCTCACAATGTTTACATTTCTGTTTCCTTCTTCTGTGTATTCTTAAACAAAATATTTACAAGTTAGAAAATATAATTTGCAATTTTTTTATTTGTACAATTATTAGAGACCTTTGAATTTTTAACTTTCAGTGTTATTTAAAAACATGGATAACTTCTCTGATCCTCTTAGTTTTAATAAACAAACAGCTACCCTATTGCGTGGTTTGGGTGTACCTGAATTAATACCAGAATGCAAGAAAAGAAATATATCAACTGATACGTTGCATGAACTCAGTACACAGGAATTGATAATGTTAGGTAACTTAAATAAATTTGGATATACAGCTTTAAAGAAATTAAATAAAATTAATTAATCTTGATACAGGAGTCGATCCTATTAAGGCTGAGAAAATTAGGAATTCTTTAAATGTAAGAAGGAACAGATCTGGCACTGTAATAACAAATTCTTCGGACAGGTATATTTGAAATAAGTATGTCATTATAATAAAAATAATCTAAAATAATAAAGAAATTCTGTATGCTTCTATGTTTAGATACAAGTGTTTTATTATATTATTTGTTGAATAGGCCTTGACATAAAAACAACTGATTAAGACTTGTAAACTTTTTAGACTTCAGCATTGTCTTGAGATAATTAAGCACTCAGAGCAACAGATATCTCTAATACAAGCATTTGTAGCTTATTGTAGATTAAGGCTTGTGAAAGAGAGAATTAACATTTTTGTGGATCCCAACAAATGTTTAAGCGCATCTGACGTATTATCAATTTCTGCAAATGCAACATTGGCAGAATTAGATGAAGTGATACAAAATCTTTCTAAACTGGAAAAATTAATTTTAAGGGTAAAGATTCTAAAAATAATATCCTGATGAACTGTTAGTATACTAACATATGTTATGTATATATAATGAATTTTTATTCGTTTTTTGCAGTCAAGAGGGAAACCAAAACACGACAAAAACCATCGACTGTATTTTCTAATTAGTGGAGTAGGTTTAGTATCACTTGTATTATTAAAGATATGTATGAGATGATTACTTTGATGTAAGCAATTTATAAATAATAAACAAGCAATCCTATTTAAATCTAGTAATAATAGTCTAGTAATAATAGCCAGGAAAATTATTCCCAAGCTATAATTTGTTTATTTCTTATCAATATTTTTTGTCTATAAATTTGTAAATTAAAGTAAATAAAGGAGGTTCGATTCTATCGAATTTATATCGATATCCATTTAAATTTTACCGCGTTTCAAGCAAATGACATTATTAATTGACTGAGTAGACAAAAAGACGATGGCTGAAGATATCATTACTCTTGTCTATAATATTATCAGAGTCTGCTCTGATTCTATAATGACTTGAAGTCCTTGTTGAGCTAAGGAGTTCTTCAAGGACACTATGCTTATACCCCTGTCTTTTTTATTTTCGAATTTCGCTTTTGAAATAAAATGATGAATGCCCTTGAAGTTTCAAAATCCAAACAAAGACTTTACACTGTGACCCATGAGTTTCATACGTAACGAAGTATACGTATTTTACATGGTTTGGTACTTATCATAGGTAAATTACATCACATATGTGATGTAAACCACGTGGTTTACCATAGACAAGATGCTACTTAATTGTGAAAAGAAAATTAACTACAGTGATGGGCAAAACCCTTGGCTTCAAATAAATCTGAAGTTTGCTAATATGTTTGTCTCATTTCCTCTCTTGAAAATTTTCCAAAGAAGGAAATTACTAATACTTAATTTAGGTATTCATTTGTATCTGACAAATCGAAATAATGACTAATCTAGTAATAATCATACAGGTGTATATGATTTGCTAAATTAGATAAAATATAAATCATAACATCATATTATGGAAAAAAGGAGTACAATTATGAAGGAGAGACCTTTGCATTAATAAGTAAATATTATTAATAATGGATCTAGGAAAAGCATTATTTTAATCGTGTAACTTTTTTTCAAGCTCCAATTTCATGTTTTCAGAAAATGTCAAGTATATATTGCATTGTGTAATGTATACTTGTTTACTTTATTTGCAACTTATTCGTACTTTTCCTAAACCTGATGCGCTTGTTATACGGAATCGAATTAAACGCTCGCAATTAGTATGCAGTGCTTTGTTCTGCGTATAAAAAATGAGTACGGTATAAATGAAGCCAATGCCAATTATAATTATAATAGCTGAATAAGCTGTACACCTTCTCGATGTCGCTACCTACAATCACCGATAATCATTCGAGACTTTGACCTCACGCCATAGTACAGGAGATTTGCGTTTCATTGACTAAGACGTTTGTGTATATAATCCTGCAAGTTTAACTGTTTCGTAGTAATCTAATAACGTTTTTTTTTTATTATCTAACGTCAGTTTTAATTTGAATTATCTCGGATGTGTTTGAGACGCCGTATCAAGAAATCGAATGTGTAGTAATCATTCTTAATTACGAATTTATATAATCCTTTATATTGAACGTGGACTGACTTTGTTGTTCGTCGAATGATGATTATCCGCCAATGACAAAGATCTGTCCTTATTTGACCAATCAATTTTCACCGATTTCTCTCTATCCACGCCCGTTACATGTCTCAATTATTTTCTTGACAACATTTTTGTCTATGTCACCATTCCTCGACACATTCCGAGTGGAAGGGTTAGTTACACCGAGGTTTCAGAAATAATTTTAAACGGGTGAGTTCGACTCTCGTGAAAAAACATACGAATTACTATAAATTTAATCTTGTTAATAGTGCATTGTAAAATTAAAGTTTATTTCTCTGCGTTACTTGCAATTTCATTCAACTTCGAAATTCAAAACTTGTTGTGGAAGAAATTATTAAAAAATTGTTGTAATTAATGTATCGTTAGATTTACCGAAGCGAAATGTTTCCTAATTCGTTGAATTGTACAAGTTTATTATTCGAGACGTGTAAAATGATAATTTGATAACACTTTTTATTCAGGAATCGCAGGTTTTGATAAAGTGTTTCTATTTTTACGGAAGTAGGTTAAGTTGAATAGTTTATTTTAATGGTTATTTGTAAATAATGAATTCAGATGTTAAGAATAGTTTAAATTTTACAATCGTTCGTCGATGATTCATGATACCGATAAGATGTATTATTTATTTTATTTTTATCGATAAGTAGATGTATTTTTCTTTTGTGTTTACTTTTTGTAATTTTCTTTTGTACTTTGAAAATTGTTTTTATTAAAATTCGACCATTCCGATATAAAGTTATTCATACGTATTCTAGTATTCCTTTTTGTGAATATGCATTTATGAAAGTCTCATCAAGTATGTATAATGAAAATGATAAAAAACTTGCTTAAATGCATTATTCCTCATCTTATACCATACACTTTGTAACATTTATTTTAACATAAAAACAAACCAGTTGCTTATATGTTTACATAATTATTTATGAACATTTTGGATGAACTGAAACAAATATCATGATACATAATATAAAGAAAAAAGTATAGCAGATATTATATTATTATCGTATGTAAAATTTATGATAAATCTAATTGTTTGTTTCAGGCACGAAGAAAATTCAAAATCTACAAGTGATATATACATATGTTTTTTTCTTTACTGAGTCCACATATAATATAGTTAACAAGATGGACCTGTCGATATTGAAGGAGTCTACAATAGTTCACCTGATGTTTGCTATAACATTTTTCACATCGGGTGTGATAATGAATTTCTTCCAGTGTCTTTTGTACTTTGGCCTCAGGCCTTTATCCAAATATTTTTATCGGAAGATTGGTTACTATCTCTGCTATGCTTATTTTAGTCGTAAGTAAATATTTTATCCTGTGTATAAAATTTTCACATTTTATTTAATTATAAAATATGGGTCATACAACTGATTCTGCTAACTTTATGTTACTTCCTTTGGCTTGTGGTTTTCATATCACTTTTAGTGTTAAGATATTTTTTAATCTAATCTATAAGACATTAAACGAATTATAAGTAACTGTAAACTTTATTTTCAGAGTTGGTATGTATGGCAGAATGGTGGTCTGGGTCAGATTTCGTATTGTATGCGGAGAAAGAAGATTTTGAAAAGTACTTTGGTCGTGAACATGTGTTACTATTAATGAACCATAGGTTTGAGATAGACTGGCTCACTGGATGGGTCTTTTGCGAACGAGTTGGAGTACTAGGTGTAAGTTACATGTACATACATTATCATTATATATATAAAAGAATAATTTTAAGTTTTAGTTATATATATTGTAAAATATATTCATGTTTTAGAATTGCAAAGCATATGCAAAAAAGGCAATACAATTTATTCCAACTCTAGGTTGGGGACTCAAATTTGCTGAATCTATATTTTTAGAAAGAAATTGGGAAAAGGATAAACAAATAATCGGTAATCAAATTGCAGAACTTGGAAATTATCCAGATAGCATATGGGTAATTAATTTTTGTGTTATCTTTTACACTTAACTATGAGTTTTTGAGTTTCAATTATGTTTGAAGTATTATTTTCTTTGAAATGATCTCCACAGTTACTTTTGAATGCTGAAGGAACGCGTTTCACAAAACGAAAATTAGAAGCCAGTCAAAAGTTTTCCCAAGAAAAGGGTCTTCCAGTATTAAAGTACCATTTAACACCGCGAACAAAGGGTTTCACAGCAAGCGTACCGCACATGCGAGGCAAATTTCCAGCAATTTATGATGTCCAATTACATTTTAACGAAGATAATCCGGTGAAACCAACAATAACAAACTTATTGTTGGGAAAACGGGTCGAGGGCCATATGATAATACGAAGAATTCCATTGGAAGAAGTACCGGATGGTGATGAAGCCGCAGCTGAATGGTTATATAAACTTTATGAAAGAAAGGTAGATCTTATAAAATTATTTCCATAATATTATCAGCAAATCTGGATCTAGTTGTAAAATTGTTTTCTTCTTGTTTAGGATCGTTTGGCGGAGAGTTTCATCAAGACAGGTGACTTCTTTGCGATCAGTGGTGTACCTAGACTAGATCGTATGCAAGTGCCCAGGAGACGTTATAGTCTTATAAATACAATATTTTGGATGGCGGTAATTTTAGTACCAATGCTTTATTATTTGGTCAAACTGTTCTTGTCTGGATCGACGATATATTTGTTTACTGGTGTCGGTATTCTTCTCTTATGTAAGTATTTTGATAATATAGGTTGAATACATATTGTTTTATATATTTATATCGCTCTTCTAAAAGCAATCTTACGTTTCAGTTTATGTACTCATGCAAAAAACGATAGGGATGTCTGAAATAAGCAAAAGTTCGTCTTATGGAGCCGATGATACAAAATCGAAGTAAAAGAAACGGAAGAAAAATGAATAATAAAAGGAATACACCGTGAGAAAGTCGATACATCTTCAGAGGCTATTGCCGAATGAGTATTATCGTGTTATCTTTTCGCGTAATGTATTCCATGTGATTGTCTCTGTACAAAAACCACTTTACGTGACACATTTATAATAGCTTGCGAAAGTATTTGAGTTCTACACTGTTAATGGTACTTTTTTATTTTAGTTTCATTTTAGTTTCCGTACCTACTTGGACGAACAAATAGAATTTCAAACGGAATCGAGGTTTCGAAAATTAGTATTTGATTATTCAAGAATCTTGTTAAAAAATTGCATATTTTATAAAGAAAATAATTGCAACTGCAAATAATTTTGTTATCAAAGTATCTATGTTACATTAACGTTTTCCATTCAAATACTTTTGTAAGTAGATGTATGTTATGACTGTGGATGTATGTATATAAGTATATGTATAGACGCACATGTACGTAACGACATACGTTGAGTATGTCTTCTGAAACAGTCTTCTTGCTAACACTGTACTCAAAAAATTTACATTCGTATTCATTTTTTAAATTTTTTGTTTTTATTTTTCTTGTAAAGCCGTTGTTCTTGTTAAATAAATGATTTAATCCTACTAATTGTATTTTTAAAGTACATAGTATAGATTTTCTCAATTTTGTCAAATGCGCGTAATTCTATAGGAATTACTTTTCAATTTTTTTAAATTATGAATGATACCCTTTGACAGAAGGGAATATTACCTGTTTAATTTTCTGATTTTCGCGTGTTACTTTCATGATGTTTTTCCACGTAGCCTTCGAAGGGTCTGGCAATATACTGAACTGTTCTTAATTTCCCTCTCGCATCATAATATCCATACTGTCCTTTGACCGTGCCATCTTGAAGCCTCTCTTCCAGTCTATATTGTCTATTCTTTCTAAGAAAGACGTATTATGTATTGTTAGTTAAGTACTTATAAGGATATACAATATTTTATTTATGACGAAACATGTGTATACGTACACAAAATCTGAACTAAGCTGAGTTTGTAATAAATAAATAATTTTATGTCAAATCTCTACGAGTAGAGTTGCATTAATTTAAAAATTCAATGATATCTCACCCGTGTCCAGTATCGAATCCAAACATGTACGTTTGCGGTCCTTTGTGGCCTTCTATTTGAAATTGTATTCTGTCAGTCTCTTTGGATAAGTTCCAAGGATTCACGTATTCTTTTTCTTTCAAACGTTCATTGCTGTCGAATTTATTTTCTTTTGAACCGTGCAATGCGAGCTTAACATCTTTCTTTATCTTGGATTTTGAATCCTTTTTATAGCGTGGTATCAATTGCTGATCCTTTTCGTAAAATCGATGATTTTTTGGCGAGGAAACGTTGGTTGCCCATACGAGAACTGCATTTGTTAGAAGCTGAAAAGAAAAAGAAATTGTTAGTAATTTAAATGAGAGAATTTAACGGGTGTATAGTTTTAAATTTTGGTATCGAATGGTTCGATATACGAGGTCCGAGAATAAAGAAGATATTATGTACTCTGAACCGTAAATTCAATCCTGATTTGTCTCGCTTTCACGCGTTCTTTATGGCTCATCGCTTTCAAATTCATGACTCACAATCTATTTACATACATCTTTTAGTATTTACATACAGCTTTTAGAAATAAAAGACTGTAATATTCTAATATGAATATTTGTAAAGGATAGAAAACATTAATTAATATGAACGTTTTATAGGAATATTTAAATTAACATTGAAAGATACATTAATGATTGATTGACGAGTCGCTTGAAGGACATTTGAAATAAAAAGTCTTGACTCACCAAAAACGTAATATGCATTTTGCGGCTTCAATACGGAAGAAGGAAGAAGAGGAAAGAGACTGATTCTCTTGCAAAATTCTTATGCGATTTAGTATTGTTTCTACTCCATTGTAACTCTTGAGCTACTTTCTTTAATGTTTCCTCCCTCTTCAAACTTCCCCTTCCAAATGGAGGCCCTTTCTACGATTAGAATTGATATTATAAAATATCCATCGAACGTTCGATAAATTTGCAAATAACAAACAAACGATAATGAAATATCGAGACGACAATAAATTACATTTTCAGAACATAGAGAAGAGCGATCAACCTTCTCAAATGGCAAACGATAATACAATTTTGAGATGACA